TTATGAATTTTGTGAACCACCAATATCTTTTTATTCCACTAGGTAGTTGTCACATAAAAACCGACTCATGCAATGTCAATGGTCAAATTGAATCATAATTGTATACGCTCGTTCAATAATTAAAAAGTTTTGTTTTAATACTTAAAAATATATATAAATATTATATGAGGACTAAATCGCTCTTCAATAAGAAGCAGACCAGACAATATTTAGGGGGAATGATCATGTGAACATAGTTGAAGATTATTACAATAATGAGGAACTAAGCTTCCGAACTCTAATAGGAAATCTGGAAGGACGATTATTGTTTATTTGCAATATTGGAAGAAGGCAAGAAAATCTAACATTCGACATGGTTTTTGGGGATAGTCAGAACGCATTCAATTTTTAGGTTTTTATTATTACATTCGTTTCAACCCAAACTAGTGGATCTTCAAAAGAGCTGAAGTTTTTTTTAAACATAAACAATAAAATAGAAAATTTAATACATCTTGAATATTTATCACGTATATGTAGAATAGTTTACAAACAAATTAGACATGTTTTGGTTCAAGTTAACTTTTGAAAATATGTATTTGTGTCAAGTTTCATGACTGTTTTTCACAAGATCCTTAAAATCATGCTCATCTTACTTTTGGGAAAACAAATAAGTTTCACTTTTGTAGCATATAAAGTATGCCTTGTCAAAGTCCTACTTAGCTGATTTTAGGAATGGATTAAGTTAAATTAAACTTATTTATGGACGAAAGAAGATCCCAGATGAGTGAAAAGTGTTGGTTCTATGCCCAATCTGTAAGAAGGGAGACAAGCTGGAGTGCAGGAACTATGGAGGCATAGCTATAAAATACTATCCTCTGCCATTGGTAGGAGACTGATGTCAAACATGGAGAGGGAAGTAGGTGAATTTCATTGTGGCTTCAGGAAAGATAGATCGACTATTGATCAGATCTCTACCGCCAGACAGGTGCTAGAGGAGTCACTGAAATACAAGGTTGGCCTGCATCACCTCCACATTGATTTTCAGCTGGCATACGACTCATTGGATACGCATGTTTTGATGAGGGATCTCCTCTCTGGATGGATCTATAATGCTCACCCGCTTTGTAAAAATGACTATGGCAGATACAGAGTCAAACTACAAGGATTGCTGTCTGAGGAGTTCTCTCTGGTTTCGGGAATGATGCACCAAGGCTATTCCCTTTTTTAACAAGACCTTGGAGAAGGTGGCAAGGGATATATATATATATATAAGAAGGTACCATCTTTGACCGCTTCACACAACACATGGCGTACGCAGATGACGTAGAGATTGTGGCAAGGGCACTCAGCGCTGGCAGGTACATTATAGGAATTTGCGACCACTGCAGTAGCTCGCGGTCTACAAATAAAAGAGTCCAAGACATCGCCCTCATCATATAGTGAACACTAGGCACAGGCAACACGAGTTCTCAGTATGCAGAGATTTCAAGTACCTGGCATCCCTTATGTCGGCAGAAAACGACATAAGGAGCCAGGATCGCTGCGTGAAGCCGATGTTTTTATGCCATACAGTGACTACTTAGATTTTGAAGTCTCCGAAGGAATACCAGATTGACAATTTATTAAACTATGATTCGTCCGGTAGTCACATACGGAAGCGAGACGTGGGTTATCTCAGCAAAACATGAGCGGGTTCTTGGAGTGTGAGAGCGTAAGATAATTAGAAGGATTTATGGGCCTATATCTGAAGGTGTTTAGAGGTCCTGATACAACCGGGAGTTGCGACAACTCTACAGGGACACATCTCGTCAGAGCCATTAAGGCAGGACGTATAAGATGATTGGGTCATGTGGAAAGGATGACAGCGGACTGAGTGCCGAGCAAAATATATATGGGCAACCTGGAAGAGCAAAGAGAGGAAGGCCACCACTCCGTAGGCCGGAGGATGTTGAGGCGAATTCGAGACAGCTTGGTGGCAGGCGGTGGAGGGCTGTCGCATTGGACCGCGACGAGTGGCGACATATTGTTGAGAAGGCCAAGATTTCTAGTGGACTTTAATGGTGAGGAGTAAGTAAGTAAGGAATTAACGAGTTCCATTTTGTAGCACATTGTAAGTGCTAAAATCCCGCTGGCGATATTTTGAAAAAAAAAAATTTACACCTTCCTCTCTTTGGTATTAAACTGGTGAAAAGTTGAAAAAAAAAAAAACATTATGTCTGACTAGATAAAATATAAGATTTATTTACGCATACGTATATAAGAATCTAAAATAAAAATGATGAGATCTGAGAAAAGCACAAAAAAATTGTACGGCTGTTCGACTATTGCTAAATCACTCAGCACTGCAGTCAAAATCGATATCATATAACAAAAGAGAACACAGGATAAAGCATTGCGGGAACATCATCCACCATACCGAAAGTTATAATTCATTAATTCACTGTTACAACTTTTGTGTAATTTTCTCCCTCTCTTCTGTCCGTTGAATCCACAACAAAGCACTTGGAATCGATACAAATTTTCTATCAGGTACGGTATGCATTTTTTTTATAGATTTCTTCTTTTTTTTTTTTTTTCTTTGAGATCCTGATCCTCATCTTTTGTTTTAAATCTAATAGTAGAATTAACTATCAGAGCCTCTTTTCCTGCATTAAAGGCTAAGATACATACGAATCTCGCTGAGCCTCCGTATCAATGCAATACATTTCTAGGAAGCATATAAACATTCGTTTCCAAGAATTCGGCAACTCGATGCTTTATTATTATGCAAGTGGGTGACGAGGAGTGTGTTATTCGGACATTTTCTCAGTACAAGAGCTGGGGTTCCTGACTCTCGGCCGCATTTGCGGCAGAGTAGTACATCTCCATTCGCCTGGCTTGCAGGCCTCAGAACTCCTCGAAGAGGAGTATAGTTCACATTTAATTTTAACGCATTTGTCCACTCCCTTAGGAGAGCCCGTTAGAATCTTGCGCTCATACATAAACTTGTTAGCCCATTGATTTGACTTAAAAAAAAAAAAATATATATATATATATATATATATATATATAAATACTTGATTATACTTTGATTAAGAGTTCATAATAAAAAACAAGTTTCTGCGTCAGACAAGTAGTTGATCAGGATCACCTGTTTCTAAATGTTAATGGAAACTCATTATTATAATTATAAACAAATGGTATTAGATTAGGCTTAAGGAATATCAAAGCTCACTTGGAAAAATTCTATTAAATTTGATAAAGAAGAATAAAATTACTTATTTAAATGATATCCGGATGAGATATAGAATATTGAAATGTGTTATTAAATAAAAAGACGATGTTTTGACCTAAAAGATATCCTGAAGTTATAATCAAATAGAGATTTAAAAACCATATATGGTTATACACTTCTTACAACTTCCCCATATAGGTCGTTTATAATAAATTTAAAGGTTTCCGGAAAACGATAATTGGTTACTAAGTTAAATACATAATAAAGAAACAGATTTTAAAAAAAACAACGGCAAATATTATTGTATCTCACAATGTAATCACAAAATTATTCTTTCCTTATAACATCCGCCTCATTTAATATCACTGCTGCAAATAGTACAGAGTATATTGACCAAGATACATATTTATTGTGTCATTTTAACAAAAATTGACAACTCGTGGAAAATATCTTGTTACCTATTCCTATAAAGTCATTAGTACCTATTTACACCTATAGAGAACAGTTTCCATTTATAATCGCAACTGTATTTTTATTCAATCAAATAAATATTCAGCGTTCAGTAAATTTTTGAAGATTTTTAATATAAACGTTCAAATTCAAACTTGTGGGTACATCAGGAATGGAGTAACAAGCTTGGTTTGAAACGTTGGCAGTAATGATCTTAAAAATTGATTTTTTCCTGACTATCTATCACCCATGATATGTAGTTGACAAACTTCTTTCAATAATACAAATTATTATTATTCTACTAACATCGGCCTAGTTAAGAATGCATGTACAGTTAATCTTATAAATAATAAAAATCAGTAATGTACAACCAAGAAACAAAACAGTTTATGAAAAAATACATTATTTTAATCAATTCTTAAATCAATAAGTTACCTTTATTTTTATTTTAAAACCTAGATTGACTTCCTCAATTCATCTGACAATGAACTTTTATTATCTGATCCTCCTACATTTAACAATGAATAAAACAGCACCTTTAATCATTAAAACTGCCCAATACTGAACTTCGATGATAATTATCATATTCAAAAACTGGATATTCCCAACGTACAACTTAAACCTCAAGAAATACTCTACGGAGTGGATGGCCCAAATCATATATTTATAGTTTTGTTTCCAACTCCCATGCTATTAACGTTCATTTCATTACTTAGCTTTCATCATTATAAAATTACAATATGCAATGTTCTTCAATTCGAATCCGCCAGTTGTCTTCCCCTGCGTAAATTTCCAGAACCAATGGAAATCTAGGAAGCTATCTTCTTAAATATCTATCCTTCCTTCTCGTGGGAACAATCTAACAACTATGCTGAGTTATATGATGAAAGACTTAAATTCTGCGTGATCCGCTCCAATCAACTAGGTATTTTGTTCCTCTATAGTTAGTGGCATCAACAAAGTTAGCGATGAAATAGAGACACTTGATGAAAACCAAGAAACTTGATAAAGGATCTAGGGAAAGGAGACAGTAGCGTTCCGCACAAGTTGGAAATAGTTACTAATCTTGGTGATGTGTGTTTTTAATCCTGAACATAAAGTATAAAATTTGTTTTTACCTGTTCTAATTTTATATAATCTTCATAAACTTCATTTCGGATTCAAATCTCCTTTTTGTACAGGTGCATGAAGTGTTCCGCATCCAGTTTGTCAACCGGTTTTATTCTTTATGAAAAAATATAAGCAAACATTATCAATTAATTTAAAGGTTCAATATTATGGTAAACATGATTGGATACTAATATTTTAAAAACTAAAGTTATATAATCGTAAATCTATATTCGGGATCGACAGGTAATTACGAAGTCGAGAAGATCTTGTAGAGGGGATTTCCACATGGCACTGCTCTTGGTCCTGTCTTTTGAAAGTCGTCTTGGACGTGTTTCTGTGCAGGACGGGATGGATATGATTTCATGGCACGATCTATGTTGATTTCATAGACGTATTGGTGGCCTCCAGGATAGAAGCTGATGTAAAGAAGAAGCAGGGAGATGCGAAATATCGATAACGAACGACGCGAGAGTAAGAAATGAAAATGAAAGAATGCCAATGTCCTAAAAGGTATGACTGTTAGAGCTCACCAGATAATTATTATTATTTAGGTCTGAATTTTGGAGATTTAAGTCGAACTTTACTTTCTTGCAGTCCCCCGAGAAACGCTTGGGTTATCTTCGGATAATCTAAGTAGACTAACGAGGGAATGGAATTCTCCAACAGCTTGAGGGCTTCGGCTGCCTAAGGCCAGTAGCGGCATAGTCGTGAAAACCTGTGGGGGAAGCGGGGTGAGAGGGGAGATAGGCCCGGAGACATTGAGGTTGCAACCCCACTACCGGGCTAGGGTGTTATCGGCTAATCACCAGTACACCTGAAAATGAATGATTATAGAATCCAAAACGAAGAAAAGCCGGTCTGATCATTAGGCAACCGTTGGCATGAAAAAACGAACCAAAACCGGATGTTGGAATGTTAGGACAATATATGAAACTGGAAAACCGGAAGCTTTTAGGAGAGAAATGGGCAGATACAGATTAGAATTGTTGGGAATAAATGAAACCAGATAGACTGCCTATGATGGAAAGAGATTAAGTTATGGATATGCACTGATTTATTCTGGAAAAGAAGAAGGTGAAACACACAAAAGAGGAGTTAGACTAATGATGACAAAACAGACTAAGAAAGGGCTTACTAATTGGTACCCTGTTTTTGAGAGGGTCCTTATCGAGAGTAAGGTCCATATCGGTAATGTGTCATGCGCCTACGGACACATCCGAGCATGTAGAGAAGGACAGATTTTATCAGGAGCTTAAGGCATGAAGATTCTGATGGGAGATTTAAATGTCAAGGTTGGGAGCGACCATTCAGATAGAGAATCAATTATGGGAATCCACGGTATTGGTAATATAAATGGCAATGACTAGAGGTTTGTAGATTTCTGTTATAATCATAACCTTATCATAGGAGATACTATTTTTCCACACAGAAACTGCCTTAAGGTAACCTGGGTAATGCCAGATATGAATACAGAAAATCAAATCGACCATCTGTGCATCAACCGAAGCTGTATAAAGTCGCTGCTGGATGTCCGTAACGGGAGAGGAGGTGATGTGTCAAGTGACCACCATCTAATCACAATAGTAATCCAGTTTAAAATAGCAACAAACAAGAAACCATTCGGATGTGAACAGAAGAGATGGGATACAGATCAACTTAAATACGACAGACTTAAATCACAGTACACCTTGTAGCTTTCTGACAGATTTAATACACTGACTTCTTACAATAACGATGATGACATCCAAGAAAGAAGAAAAGAAGCCATCGAACGAAGGGGAATGATATAAAGAATGTCATGCATGACACTGCAAAGAAAGTTCTTGGTGTGAAAGAGGGAAAAAAGCCTGATTGGATCTCAAGTGAATCCTGAGATGCTATTTTGGATTGGAGGGGTAAAAAAGAAGCCTTAAACAGCAGAACCAGGGATCAAAAATAATAAGGAATTTGGGAGACTTAATAGTAAGTTAAGAAAAGAACAGAGTGGATTCAGACCAAGAAGATCATGCTCGGCCAAATTAACACTCTCAGAATTATATTAGAATAATTTTCGGAGTTCCTGGCGACTCTATATCTTACTTTTATAGATTTCTAAAAAGCTTTTGACAGTGTTTCACGGAAGAAAATGTGCGAAGCCATGAAAGAATTTGTAATATCGAAGAAAATATATGAGGGTTCCTCCTGCCAAGTTATTCATTGTGGCAGAGGATCGAAGCCCTTTAATGTTGGAACTGTGTTAGACAGGGATGTGCCCTCTCCCCTATCTTATTCCTGATGGTACTCGACATTATTTTAAGGAAAACCTTTGCAGAGAACTGAAAGACTCGTAGATCTGGACTTTGCAGATGACTTATGTCATTTCGCTCAAAATTTCCGAGATATACAGCAGAAGTCCAATGAACTCCGGGAAGAAGCTCAAAGGGCTGGTCTTAAAATAAATGCTACTAAAACGAAAGAGATGCGAGTGAATAGTAGGAGCCGAGAAAATATTTATATAGAAGATGGAATAATTGAAAGACTTACCAAATTCTGCTACTCAGGGAGTATGGTGAACTAGAATTACACCCCTACATTCGCTGGGAAGCCGGAATTTAGGGAAAAATAAATAAAATATATGTATATATCTGACATCTCTAAAAATTGCAGAATGGTGTTCTAACAGTTCCAAAACGGATATAAACCCCGCCTTCCACGGACTACTTTCAGTGCAAATAGTTTATTATTTTCGAAAGAAAATAGACAAAAAGCTTGTCACTGATTTTCGAAAAAGATTTTATGTTGATGTTTATACAATATTTTATAATAAATCATCACAGGTGGGTGTCCCGAGGTTGTAAGTGATGTTGGAGTAGCTAGTGAGATGGAATTACAGGATTAATTCATGCTACAATTATTATCCATCCACTATCCACTGTCCACCAATGATAATCCCACTATCACGTCACGTTTACCAGAAACCTTTTTGTCAATTATTATTGACAAAAATTAAGGTCTCAAAAATATTAATACGTCTCAAAAAAAAAAAAAAAAAAAAAAAAAAAAATAGCTCAGTCCCCTAATCAAAGTGATTTTGAATATCCCGCCAATTACAGAATTTAAATATTCCTCCCATTCGTCTTTAAGTCCATCTGATGTATAGCGTGATTTTCGTAGCTCTTTTGATTTTTTAAAATTTATTTTATTGATCGCAGATTTTTTTTTATACAACTAAGTTCCTTCTTTGACAAATTTGACCATACAGTGAATATGTTGTAAAAATGCAGTAACTTTATTTATTAAATACAGTTCCGAGTAAATATTGTTTTTCTAACCAACAAACAAATGTTTTTATTGTTTCCATAAGTTCTGGGAGCTGGTTACCCCAGGTTGCTTACAACTGATCCGACTAATAGTTCCACCGTTTTTATTTTCTTTTTTCTAAAGATTATCAGTTGGCTGGTTTCCTACAGGTCGTGGGAGTTTCGCAAATCAACACTTATTTTTAGTACATGTCGAGGCCGTCTGGTTACAATAAAATCTACCTCGATACTGTCGTATAATAAGAAAATATACGGATTCCCCGCCCTCACGCCCCCGGCCCGGGAAAATCCCGTATAGCCTAAAAGGCGAAGTAGGAAAGCACAAAAAAAAAAAAAAAAAAAAAAAAAAAAAAAAAAAAAAAACGGAAAAACTTAGATAATGTTCCATTTCGATAGAATGAACCTATCATTCTTCACTTGAATTACTTAATAATTTGGTGAATGGACTATAGTCTCCTAGACTCGAATGGACTATAGCCGTACCGAGGGCGCTCTTTGTGCCTTTAAGTTTTCGGCAACGATGAATATTTATAAAAGAGCACTACACATCCTAAAGTTTATCTTTTGAGCCTAGAACCGAAACCTACATCATAACAAAACTAGCTCTGGTACGAGTACCCGAATCCTGTAGAACAGTTGCTCACGAAAAAATGATTGTATTCCTGAAGAAGGTAAGACTAAACAGTCTCCGGGGAATTCTCGAGAAAACAATTGCAAAACCGAGAAAATGAGAGCGAATAATGAATCGACTGTATGTAACCATTCTGAAAGGGGCTAAGGTAAGTTTCTAAACTCACAGCTAATCCCATTGATAGTATACTAAAATCGATTGAATGCAGTAGCAATAGATAGCGATTTACGGTGAGTTTAGAGACGACCTCTTAGACTCAAGCAGAAGGTTGAAGTTCCTGAAGATGTTCCTGCATAGTAACAGATCATGAAAAAAAAAATTAATTAACTACCACTGAATAGTTGAGTTTTAAAAACAAATAAATATAGATAGTAGATGGACTAAATAATAAATTTAATTGAAAATAACAACACTAAGCTCATGTTTGTATCCTATGAAGTAGCATACATTGGATCCATCGATCCCAATATTGAAAGTGATCATCAATCGAGGAGCAAAGGGATAAGCTGTTATCTCAAGAATAGCTTAAAAGTTTCCATTTCACGATGGTTGGCCATATGGATCCTCACTACTGGTTGTCTACATAGTATACTTGAGTCTCGCATTCTGATGGAACAAAATAGATTCCAGAGAAAACGACAGAGAATAGGTAAGGGCATTGGCATCCGGTTTTACAAAGCAATGGAAGAACACCGAGTCGAGTTATCGAGGATGAACGGGATCTATATCTTCGTCGATTTGGAGTTTTCCCGTTTGGTATAGGTGAAGACCTTCCCTTCTTCAGGCAGTTCGTGTACAGAAAGGGAAACGAAGCATTCATTGGGCTGTAGAGATTATGTTGAAGCTCAATAAGAACACGACAAAGCGACTGTTGTTATAACTAAATATATGATTGTGTTTAAGACAAATAAAAAAACAACACACTTTTTATTGGATTCATTTATTTACAAAAACTAAGTTACACCTTTAATAACACCTAAATTAAATAAAATTGGAACATTCCATAAAAAAAAAAAAAAGTTAAATAAATAAATTTTTTTTGGAAACATGAGATTGTCCTAAGGCGCCAAATGTCTATTGACGGCACTTATGTTATTCTGTATGCATCAATCACATCACGGGGATGTATGATTTTCTTTTCCTATAACTACAGAAATATACTATCGGAATGATGATGTCATCTGCGTGCATCACGGAGATGCAGGAACGCAATTTCCAGTATGAATTATTTCCTCAGATATACGATGGGCAAATTAGCATCAATCTACTTTATGAATAATTGCTTTTAGACGCTGAATATAGAAATTTGTATGAAAAAGATGACCCGCTGACGAGGTCTTGAGTTGTTAGTATTCAATAACTTAATATTAATTACTGAAATTGAACTAAAAAGTATCAACTAATGCCAATCATTATAATAATTGATATCACTTCCACTGACTTTTAATGACCACCCAAAACCTTGGACTCATGTTCCACTCTTTTCTGAAGAAAATAATTCTTACCTTTGTCATATCATTTTACAAGAAACCCACAGGCACCTAGTTGCCTCCTTAATTTCACCTCATTTTGGCTATCATTAAAGATACCTTTAAGATCTCTGTGTTGCTACCGTCAAAAGTATTTTCTGTTTTTATTTTGCCTCCTACTTTATAAATTTATTATCAATTATAAATTTTCAGTGTGAGTCACATATACCGACCTGTTCTTGTCTATTAGACTTACTCAATGTATTACTTACTTTAAAATATTTGTAAATTATTTGATGTTTTT